CACAAGTACAGCCCACACCTTACGAAGGGCTTTATCTATGTAATCTTTTTTCTTTTTTTTTTTTTTTTTTTTTTTTTTTTGTTGTCAGTGGAAAGTGTCATGACGCCATTTCTAACCTTAGGTCCCTCAAGGGACCCGGAAAGAAATGTGTAAACGCCAGAAATCAAAGAAAATAAAAATAATAATAATAATAATAATAATAATAATAATAATGAGAAGAACAAGAGGAAAAAAAAGAGCAAGAAGAACAGAAAATATTAGAAGAATGAGGTGGAAAAAGAAAAAAGAAAACGTGATAGAAAACAAAGAATAAGAATCTGATATGTAAAAAGAAGAAAATAAAACATTGAGTTAAAAGAATGAAGTAGAATGAAATATAAGAAGAATGAGATAGAACATGAGAAATGATTTAGAATAAATTAATGAGAACAACATCGATAAAAGGAAACGAATTAGCAGTGAAAGAAGATAGAAGAAAAGAAAAAAGAAAAAGAAAGAGAAATATTAAATAGATTTATGTAAGAATGAAAATATTAATTCAATAGAAGAGATGAATGAAAATAAGAATTAGATTGACTTGTAAAGAAAAGAAGTGTATTGAGAATAAGATTTAGATAGAAAAAGAGAGGAGAATGATAATGGAAATTATATCGGAGAAAAAGAGGAAGGAGAAGAAATGGAAGGAGAAGGAGTAAAATTAAAGAAATAAGAAAAGAAAGAAGGAAAGGAAGAAGGAGAAAAAGAAAAGAAAGAAGAAGAAGAAGAAGAAGAAGAAGAAGAAGAAGAAAAAGCCGATTGCTGATTTGTTTGAGATTTTTTCTACGGCTATATTATTTTCTTGATATCTGATTGGTCAATAGTTTTATTGATTCGTGTTTCTTGGATCGAACCAAATAGCAAAGAAAATGTTGGTGACAAATCTTAACTCTAGTTACTAAGTGTTGCCCTGAATGTCTTGCCTCTGAGCTGTAAATCTCCACCGACTTCTACATCCGTTTCCAGGACCGAGGCTCTACGCCTCTAGCTCCAGATACGCACACATCAAACTTGAAGCTTAAGTTTTACCATCATTTATCTTTTTCTACTCGATTGTACGTTATACACATGGCATTCAACCGAATAAATTTTTAAGAGGTGACATCCTGACAGAACGAAGAAGACGAGTAAGGAGGGGAGAGTAAGGAGAGGCTACAGAGGAGAATAGGGAGACGCTTCGGAGGAGAGCAAGGAAGCGCAGCAGGGGAGAGTAAGCAGACTCTGCAGGGGAGAGCAAGGAGACGCTGCCGGGGAGAGCAAGGAGATACTTCACGGAGGGGAGAGTAAGGAGACACTGCAGGGGAAAAGGAGACTCTTCAGGGGAGAGCAAAGAGACGCTGCAAGGGAGAGTAAGTAGACGCTGTAGGGAAGAGTAAGGAGACGCTATAGGGGAGGAGACGCTGAAGGGGAGATTAAGGAGACATTGTAGAGGAGAGTAAGGAGACGCTGCAGGGGAGTGTAAGGAGACGCATTAGGGAGGAGTAAGGTGACGCTGCTGGGGAGAGTAAGGATACGCTGCAGGGGAGAGTAAGAAGACGCTGCAGGGGAGAGTAAGATGGACCATCAGGTAAAATTATCAAATAGGAAGAAATTAAAGAAGTAAAATCTGAATTATAAATAGAATAATAAAAAGACAGGTGAATGTAAAAGGAAATAAACAGGAAAAAAAGCAAACATACAAAATCTTTTCATTAAAGGATCTGAAAACAAAGACAAAACAATACCGAGATAATTATTGTATAGGAAATTGACCATATTTGACTAGGGAATGGGTAGATAAAAATAATATGGCAAATGGAGAATTGTTCTCACTTGAAACCTCTATTACATAATATATTCTCGGTAAATTTTATTGTTTTAGATATTCACTTTTAAATTTAATAATGCCACAAACTCAACAGCAATGAGAACTCCTGAGAAAATTAAACAATCTAAGGCATCGGATCAAATCCTACAAACAGATAGTAAACGAATTCAGTAAATAAACAAAATAGAATGATGTCTAAGACAAGGCTTTGTCTTCTTACCAGATATATTCAACTCTTTACAGCGAGACGATCCTGAGATAACTAGAAATTCTTGGAATATTTTAATTGGCCGATACAATCGTAACAATTGAAGATAAGTAGATGACACAGTGTTGATAAGAGAAACAGAAAAGAAAGTATTCGAAATCCTAGGGAATGTAGAAAAGGAAATTCTGACAGTACAAACGGTTGGCAACAAGAGGAAAACGTAGGATTCGAACTAAGAATTGGAGATATCAAAATCACGCAAATACGAACACTCAAATATAAGAGAAATGTTAGGATAGTGTTAGGAAAAAGAGAAAAGATTACTGAATTGTTATGTAATCTTTGTCCTCCTATGTGGCAGTGAGTGTTGGAAAATCTCAGAGGGAGAAGAGATTTGTGGGCACAGAAATGCAGTTTTACAGAAGGTTGCTAGGAAACGGACATGCTGATTAATGTAAGAGTTTTAAGGAAAACTGAAGCAACAGTAATTTCTAGAAGAAATGATAGAATTTGACATTCTCGTGACATATTGAAAGTCAATGGGACTACGGAAAGCAAATAATAATTTACCAAAAAGTTTTATGCAAATGGGTGGCCGAACAAAGTTGGAGGTATGGTGAAACGACAAAGGTTAGTAAAAGGAAATTGGGGAGATCGCCGTTGTTGTAAAACTATACGGTTCATAGAAGAGGACTACGTACGTCTTAAATGCTATCAAATTTTAGATAGAAAGTGAGTATTTGTCTATATTTCTGAGACGAAGCATTATGTACACTATTTACATTAATCGGACTATTGTCCTCATCTTTGTCGCCGTATTTATCACAACGTTTCGGCCCTTCAGTATCTGTCTAAAATTCTGAGATGAGGTATTATGTACACTATTTACATTGTTCAGTCCATTGTCATCATCTTTGTCGCCATATTTATCACAATGTTTCGGCCCTTCCGTATCTGTCTATATTTCTGAGATGAGGTATTATGTACAGTATTTACATTGTTCGTTCCATTGTCCTCATCTCTGTCGCCATATTTATTACAAAGTTTCGGCCTTTCAGTATCTGTCTATATTTCTGAGATGAATTATTATGTACACTATTTACATGATTCGGACGATTGTCCTCATCTTTGTCGCCATATTTGTTACAACGTTTCGGCCCTTCAGTATCTGTCTATATTTCTGAGATGAGGTATTATGTACACTATTTACATGATTCAGACTATTGTCCTCATCTTTGTCGCCATATTTATCACTACGTTTCAAGGACACATGGCACAGTGGATAAATGCGTTAGTTAGATCCACTGACAGGACCCAAAGAGTGGGAGTTCAATACCTGGTTAAGGCAGTGGGCAATTTGACAGGGGAATCAACAGGCGATAACTGACACCCATTAGACATGGCACGTGGAACAAGGACAGTCTACCCCAGTGAGCGAAATAAAGTGTTCATTTCAACATTTCAACCAGCCGAAACGTAGTAATAAATATGGGGATAAAGATGAGGACAATAGTCTGAATAGTGCAGACAGTAAGAAAGAGAGTAAATTATTAAGAATTAGAAAAAAATAAATATGAGAATTAAGAGAAAACTCTTAAAATATGGTAAAAGTCTATATATATATATATATATATATATATATATATATATATATATATATACATATACATATATATATGTTGAGTCCACGCAGACAAAATAATACTGAAGAATACAAGAAATAATTCAAAGACATTTAAATTTTCAAAGACCTGAACTCATATAAAACTCGCTGCCGAAGAACTAATGGTCATCAAGTCAATCGATCACAAAATATTGAATTCAGTCCATCTTTATAAAGGAAAGAATGGGATGAAAACAAAGGAAACGAGAAAGACGAACGGGAGAAGGCGAATGAAGAAAATAAAATGGATGAGGAAGTGAGGAGATAAAAATTAAGAAGGCAAATAAAAAGGTGAAGAAGGCGGTAGAATAGTGAGAGAGAAAACAATGGAGAAAAGAAAGATCAGAAAAATGATAATAGAAAGAATGGAAGAGAAAGATAAAAAGAAAGTCGAAGAGGAAGAAGGAGGCAGCTAAAAAGAAGAAGTTAAACAGCAAGGAATGAGGAATGTGTAGGCAATTGCGAAGAGAAAGCTAAAAACGTAAGTAAAGAAGAAGGAGACAATTAATTGAAAAAACAAAGAATGAAGAAGATAATAAGGAAGAAGTAATTTCAAAATGGAATAAGATGACAATACACTTTCACTTCAATTTCCTTGCTTCGCCTTTGATTCTCCCCTTCCTTCTTTTCCTCCGCCTCCTTCTTTTCCTCCCTCTCCTTCTTTTCCTCCCCCTACTTCTTTTCCTCCCCTCTTTCTTTTCCTCCTCCTCCTCCTCCTCCTTCTTTTTCTTTTATTCCGTTATTTTACTAATATTTTACACGAGTATTATTATTCTTTTTTTCTTCCTATCTGGCTTCGTTTTCCTCTTCTTTTCCATTCTTTTAACTCATTTTCTTCTTTGTTCCTATCTTTTTTATGTTTTTCATCGTAGTTTTCTCATTTTATTCTTCCTTATTATCTACGCTTTTCTTCCTTTTTTTATCTATTTTGTAATATTTCTTCTTCTTCTTCATAAATATTTTTGTTTTCTTCTTGTTTTTGTTCAATCTTCGATTCGTATCTTCTTAATTTTCTCACTAGAGTTATCGCCCTTTCTTCTTTCTTTTTAGCCACTGATTTACTTTCTAGTTTCTTCTTCTTCTTCTTCTTCTTCTTCTTCTTCTTCCTCCTCCTTCTCTTCCTCCACCACTTTATATTCTTCTTCCCCTTCCCTTTGTATTCTTCTTTCTCTTTTCTTAATAAAGATGGATGAATTCAACATTACACTTACATTAACGAGTTTTGCATGAGTTCGTATCTTTTGAAATTTAAATGTCTTTTCAATTCTTTCTTTAATTCTTTGTCATTATTTCGTCTGTTTGGATTGTAAATACGAGGAAATGAAAGGCGAACGAAGAAAAAAGGAAACTCTAAAATCGCGATGAGAGAAGGGAGAACGAAAAAAAGAACAACGAATGAAAAAACAAACAATTGATAAAAGGCAGATGAGTACTTCAGAACTGCGAAGAGAAAGATAAAGACCAAGAGGAAGAAGACAATATAAAAAAGAAAGATAAAAAGCAACGAAAGAGTAAGAAGCTTACAATTAGTAAAAAAAAGAAAGGAAGAAAAAGAAAACAATCGGAAAAAGAATGATAAAAAAAAACAAGGAAAATATAATGGGATAATTAGAAAGTGAAATATAAAAATCTAAAGAAAAAGAATAAGCATTTAAGTGGGAAGAGAAATAAAAAAAGCAAGGATAGAGAAAGAAGTAAACAATATTAAAGAGGATGTTAAAACAAAGTCAAATGAAAACAATTAGGAAAAGAAATATAAAACCAAATTTATGGGCGAAAAACTGACAGTTGAGAAGAAGCTTTTGTTCATAAAAAAAGCGAAGAAAGTAGGAGATAAAAATAGAATACACAATTCGTGTCCACACAGAGAAATTAATACCAAACAATAAGAGAATTAATTAAAATACTTTTAAATTTCAAAAGACATGAAGTCATGCAAGACACATTGCCGTACAACTGATGAAAAAAATTTGAAGTGAAAATACAAAATGGAGGAAATATTGATGAATAGAATGAGGGATATTGTTATTCAGTGTCGAATTTGAAAGAAGAAGAAGAAGAAGAAGAAGAAGAAGAAGAAGAAGAAGAAGAAGAATGATGAGGAGGGTAATAATAAAAATAATAATAATAATAATAATACTAATAATAATAATAAGAAGAAGAATGATGATGGTGATGAGAAGGGTAATAATAATAATAATAATAATAATAATAAGAAGAAGAAGAAGAAGAAGAATGATGATGGCAATGAGGAGGGTAATAATAATAATAATAATAATAATAATAATAATAATAATAATAATAATAATAAGAAGAAGAAGAAGAAGAAGAAGAAGAATGATGATGGCGATGAGGAGGGTAATAATAATAATAATAATAATAAGAAGAAGAAGAAGAAGAAGAAGAAGAATGATGATGGCGATGAGGAGGGTAATAATAATAATAATAATAATAATAATAATAATAATAAAATTATCGAAGGAGATGGCATACAACACCCCCAAATGAATGAAAAAATAAGAAAAGAATACTACAGGCGTGTACGTCTGGTACTAAATACTGAGCTAAACTCAAAAAACAGGATATCAGCCATAAACACATTGGCTATCCCTGTGGTGCAATACAGCTTTAATGTCCTTAACTGGACCATAGCTGAAATTAAGCGAATGGACGCCAAAACGAGAAAGCTTCTCACTTGCTATCGCATGCATCATCCCAAAGCTGATGTCGATCGTCTGTATGTGCCCAGATCCGAAGAAGGCAGAGGATTAGTTCAACTAGAACTGTCCTACAAAACTACAACAATTGACCTCCAAAGATATTTGGAAACTACAGAAGACTGGATGATGGTATGCGTCAAGGAACATGAAAGTAGTAAGCGTCTTTACTCCGTAATGAAAGAAGCCAACAAATTCAAAATGGAGTTTCAAATAGGCGTAGAGATGCAACTACAGCACAATACACCGGCTGAAACTGCAAAATACCTAAAAAAGACAGCAAAGACGAATGCAACTGAACAAATACAGAAGCGATAGCAAGATAAACCGCTTCATGGCCAATACTCTGTCTGTACCAAAGAAGCTGACGTAGACAAAACCCGTACCCATCAGTGGCTACGTAGTGCAGGGTTGAAAGTGGAAACTGAAGGTTTTATCCTTGCTGCTCAGGACCAATGCTTGCTAACTAGAAATTATCAAGCAGATATACTAAAGTATTGTGTCAGCCCAAAATTCAGATTCTGTGATAAATATCCAGAAACGATTGATCATCTTGTATCAGGTTGTACGGTGTTGGCACCCACTGAATATAAAACCCGACATGACATAGTAGGCCAATATCTGCACTGGAAAATCTGCAACTTCTACGGGAAGAAAACTGAAAGAAACTGGTATGAATACCACCAGACCCGGTTACGGAGATAGGACCTGTTACAATTCTATGGGACTACACAATACACGCTGACAGAACAATCAAGTCCAACCGCACAGATATTGTTATTAAAGACCACAAACAAAAACAGTGCCTCCTTATTGATATGGCAGTCCCTGCTGACTGCAATGTTTCTTTGAAGATATTCAAAAAGTTGTCAAATACAAAGACCTTGAAATAGAAATCTCGAAAATGTGGCATATGGGAACATCAACAATCCCTGTTGTAGTTGGAGCCCTAGGATTGGTTGGAAAAGATTGCAGTAGACTAATTGAAGGGATTCATGGAAGTCCATGCCTCAAGGAGATACAAAAAATTGTTCTGACAAGTACAGCCCGCACCTTACGAAGGGCTTTATCTATGTAATTTATTTATTTATTTTTTTTTTGTCAGTGGAAAGTGCCATGATGCCATTTCTAACCTTAGGACCCTGGGCGGGAGACGGAAAGAAATGTGTAAACGCCAGAAATCAAAGAAAATAATAATAATAATAATAATAATAATAATAATAATAATAAGAAGAAGAAGAAGAAGAAGAAGAAGTAGAAACAGAAGAAACAGAAGAAGAAGAAGAAGAATGCTGATGGTGATGAGGATGATAATAATAATAATAATAATAATAATAATAAAAGAAGATGAAGAAAAAGAAGTAGCAGAAAGCGAAGAAGAAGAAGAAGGATGGTGGTGGTGAGGAGGGTAATAATAATAATAATAATAATAATAATAATAATAAGAAGAAGAAGAAGAAGAAGAAGAAGAAAATAGAAATGAAATCAGGGCATAATAAGAGAGTTGAAAAGACGAAAAAGAAAAAATATTGCAAAGTAGATAAAACATTAAGAGGAAAAACAGAAATAAAATCAAAGTATATGTAGAAGAAAAAGAAGAGCAGAAAAAAAGAAAATTAAGAAGAAGAAGAAGAAGAAGAAGAAGAAGAAAGAGAGTGAAAATGTATAATGTAGAAAAAACAACAACAAATAACTAAAAACAGAATTAGATGAAAAATATGTAGGAAAGAAAAAACATTCACGACCAAAAAACATGAAACTGAGAAACAAAAAATGAAGGAGAAGGCGAGGAAGAAGAAATTGAAATGAAAAGAAACAAATCATGTGGAAGCCAAAGAAGATGAGACAAAAGAAAATATATAAGAAAAGGAATAAAAAAACGTATTGTAAAAGAATAATGTGTAAAATGATGAGAAAATAAATTACGAGAAAAATAAATTCTCAATGATAAAAAATATACATGAGGTCTTTGTAAGGAAAATAAAAAAAAAAAAAGTCCGGGGAGGTGGTGGGTTTAAATGGCAGAATAACAAGAAATATACAGAGTAATAAATAAAAGAACACAGAAAAATTGAACAATATGAATATTAAAGAGACTTCAAAGAGTACTTATAAATGGAAGGAAGCAAAAAAATTCAATTAAGCTTCAATCAAAGCTCGAGAGCCCTCAATCTAGAATGTTACAGTAAAATAATCATTATGAATGAAGCATGTTTAATAAATCAAGGAGATGTTGGTATGAAGGGAATATTTAATGATTAGTAGGATAGGTAACCATTGACATTTGAAACGGTTAAAATTGTGGTGTTCAGGGAAGAACACGAGCGGCTGTGAGCTCCACAGAACAAGTTATCATGGAAAAGAAACTTTCTTTTGACGTGAGAACAAGGAGAAAATGAGTGTGCTTCATCTGCTCAGAAGCAGTATGTCATGTCCGAGCTGTAAAGGTTTGAACTTGTGGAACCAAAGAATGGAACTCATCAAGAATGTTGATTGTAAGGATAAAAAAAAAAAATTGAAGAAAGAGGAAGATCACAAGTAAGATAAAAAGGAAAGAAAAAAGAAAGAAAAGATGGGTAGAAGAGAGAAAAAGGGAATAGATGAGTAAGAACGAAGATACGAAAATGAATAAGCGTTGACGATATGTAAAAAAAAACCTGATAATAAATAGAATAGACTAGAGGGAAATGTATTGACCTGAACGGGGACAGCAGTCTCCAAAGAGCCGATGGAGAAAAAAAATAATTCAGATGAAACAAATATAAGGTTTTTAAAAAGAAGTGCAAGTTCTTTTTAGCAGAGAATTGAGACAACAAGACACGGTAATTACATTTTATCGGCATTTCTTCGGAGAATCAAACAGATTTCGCATAACGAAGCTGTTATGGAGTTGATTTAGACGTAATCAACATTTTTTCAGAGAATGACACGTCTAAGTACATACACTTGAGAAAGGGGTCACGCCCATTAAGGAAACTTGGTTTATTCAATCGCACATAAAAAGATTGTTCACACGTGAAAAGGCGTTCATTTTAAAATAAAAACATAATGAAAAAAGCGGGGACAAGTAAATATGTACGTACATCATAACAGGACCAGGATGAAAAGCAATATATGCCCACGCATATTTCATTAAACATAAACAGATTTGAGAATATATATATATATATATATATATATATATATATATATATATATATATATATATATATATATATATATATCTGTTTATACGTTATTTTATTAGATACAATTTAAGTAAATGATCTGTTTTTAAATAAACTATTAATTCCATTTACCCACATGAATACCCCAGAATAAATAATGTGTATTTAAAATACAAGGCATTTACTTAAATAATGTGTATGTCTTTAATCTTCGGCGGACATAATCTATTTCATAATATTTTACACACACACTCACACATATATATATATATATATGTTTGTGTGTGTGTGTGTGTGTTTGTGTGTATAGTTATCTACAGACAGACTGCTTCGCTGTATTACAGCTAATCAGTGTGGCTAGGCATTCGATTGCTTTCAACCGGGATCGAAACTAGACCAATTATCCCTAGGCTATCGGCGCACGTCAGCAAAATGAAATTTTTAACGCATTATATACGTAGTGTACATGAACGCCATATCACTCGCCATAGCACTCAGTTCTTTCGAGGAGCGATGTATTTAAAGTAACAGCAGCTGTTTACAATTCCCTTTCCCTATAGTGCTCAATAGGCAAAAAAGAGCAGAATGTATATTTGGTTAGCAACGATTCTTTAAACATATTTCGTTAAATATGACAGGAAAGGAAGGTGCGATGATTTTTTTATTTCGTTTTTCTAATATTCACAAACATAAACATAATAAAAAAGACACAGATTAAAAGCAATAGATACACAAAGATGACATTACAGTAAAGGTAATTCAGATGTTACCTATATATATATATATATATATATATATATATATATATATATATATATATATGTGTATGTGTGTGTGTGTGTGTGTGTGAAAGTGTATATAAATATAAATAAATATATATATGTATAATTATTTATATATTATATGCGTTATTTATTAGAAAGGCTCTGACGATCGCTAAAGCGTGAAACCCAGGGTCACAAACTCACATCTATCCAACCAAATATATATATATATATATATATATATATATATATATTGCGTTTCAAATTCTTATTGAGGTGACATTTTTGTCATTTTGTCCCAAAACTACCAGTCGGAATTTAAGAATGGGAATAGGTATATGCGCAAACTGTATAAAAACTGTAGTGTTCTGCGCAACGGGAAACAAATGGTGGACATTTGCAATTTAAAAATGATATAGAAGAGTTACAGGTTATAAGAGTGTCATGATAATCGTGAAATTATATGTCGCAAATGTGACTTGACCTCTTCGGAGAAAGATGTTATAATATCTGAACTTACCAAAGGCAAATCTACATTAGAAATATTCAAAGTAATTGGAAGATGTCACCAAACTGTGATTATATCTGTTACAGCTCCTACGAAGGTAAGTAAGCGTGCCGATAAGTGTCACTCGGGGGTTGTCTACAACCTTTGTCACGAATGAAGCGTGAAGCTGTAAATAGCCCAGGGTTGACTAGTGGAGCAGTATTCAGGGCCATTTCAGAAGCAACGGTTTCCAGAATTACTCCCTATCGTCTTCTGAAATAGGTCGGGACATCAATGAGATCAGTAACAAAGCATCGATTGTCAAAAGTACACATGCAAATGCATTTGAAATGGTCAAAGGAGAACATGGAGCTCGATTTCTCGAAATTTCTGTTCACAGATGAATGTCATGCAGCCCTTGATGGCCCTGATGCTTGGAGAAAAGGTTGGGTCGTAAATAGACTAGATTGTCATCGACGGCTGACACGCCAACAAGGAAGAGGAAGTATTATGATTTCGTCTGGTATTATTGGAGGTACCATGTTTGTATCCTGGTGAGTGTCTGGCGGTACGAAAATAACCGCAGATGGTTATAAAGCCTTCCTCAAAGAACAGCTAGTATCTTGGCTAAAATGAAAAGAATCGCCTTCAGCAGAACCATTGTATTTATGCAAGGTAATTCACTATTACGGAATACCTGTAGAAATTAGGCTTCTGTGAACCCCGGAAGATGAACTGACCGTTGAATTCTCCAGACTTATACCCAATTGAAAACCTGTGGAGCATTCTGAAGCGACGTGTTTATGAGAAGGGACGCCAAGTTAGAAACACAGATGAGATATAGCAGGAAATAGTCAATGTTTCACGTGAAATTTCATCGGAAGAGATTTTGAAAAGGAAATGTTCACTGCCTTTTCGAAGTCATTTTAAAAAAGATCACATATCTCATATTAACGAAATATGTATATTGTACTGATTTTTAAAATGATAAGGTATGCACTGCATATCCCACGCGACATAGTTCCTCAACATCAAAGGGCTACAGGTTTCATTGGTCAAAGCAGGTTATTTGATATTAGAAATCAGTAAATACCCAAGAAAATGCTGTAAAACATTTTGCTCGACAGCACTAAAATTATTCATTAAACACGGAACCCCTTCTAGGACTGTTCACAATCTTCACAGCATAAGATAGGCAGATGACAGAGTAATGATCGCAGAAACGGAAAAAAAATTGCAAAACCTCCTACAGAATTTAGCGAAAGATGAGACCGAAATGAGATTTGAAAATCGGGCATCCTAAAATCAAACAATAACTGAAATTTAAATATATGGAAGGTTTTCTGACAGAGGACGTTAAGTAGGACGCTGAGACCCGAAGACGCATTGGGATGGTCAAAGACGCATTCCAAAACCTCGTCAGAGTATTACGAGACAGAATCATTTTGTGGTAATAAAGTAAAAAGTACTGAACTGCTACATGATATCTGTTCTCTTTTATGGCAGTGAATGTTGCACAGTCTCTTCAAAGATAAAGAAGACACTCGAGGCGGTAGAGCTATGGCAGAAGGATGCTTAGGATAACATGGACCGAGCCTGTAAGCAACAATGAGGTTTTGGAGAGAATGTAAGCGAGGAGAAAGCTTATACTTAACAGCAGGAAGAGACAGCTGAACTGTCGGGGAGAGGTACTGAGAAAGGAGAGCTTGAAGATGCTGATACTCACAAGTCGAATAGAGGAAAGAGAGACAAAGAAAAGCAACGCATTACATACCTAGCGGGCTTAAGCAAGAGGATGACAGAACATGGTCTGTGGAAAGTAGAAAAGAGAAAAAAAAACTTATTGAGAGCTACAAGGGATAGTGGGAGTGGTGAACTATGATCGCCTACGTCCTGGAAGGACGCGGTACATAAAAGAAAAAACAGAAAACATGTTCGAAATTCTTCCCTCTTTATGCAATACAATGCCGAACATTATCAACAACACTTCTTCAAAGTATTTGACACATTCCTACATTAATTTCAGAAAATCTATAAGAAATCGTTTAAATTAAAGAATTGTTTTCGGTTTTAGACTCTAAACAAGATCTTTCTGTACACCCCACAAGAAAAAGTCAGATGATCTTAGATCTGGTGAATGTGATGGACACTTAATTGGGCCACATCACCCTGTCCAAAGCAGCTCGAAATTAAGATTTAACTATTCCCGAGCGCGTAAGCCATAGTTAATATTAATCCAACTGAACATATTGTAATTTATTTTTGTTCAATAAAAAATTAATTAATAAAAATGGGAATTATTTTGCAGCACCTAATATATATATATATATATATATATATATATATATATATATATATATATATATATATATATATACTTTTTTGAATTTGTAGGTCTGATGAATTGGATCGTGATTACGATTCCAATGTAATAAATTATAACAATGGAATATTAGTGTTTGAGCCTCTGTCCTGGATATTGAATTGATGATATATATATATTGGGAATTTATATATATATATATATATATATATATATATATAAAAACAGCGAAAATGCAAACATTTTGGCTATAAAGTGAATTTTAAAAAATGTATATTATAGTTTATTTTCCATATATTTTGCTAAATGTATTTCCGGACTCGCGACGTTCAGCAGGCAAAGAGTGATTATTTCCATATATTGTTAAAGGGAATTAATTTTCTTTGTGTTTTCTGATCTTTAAACATTGTCTTTTTGTGTGTAATATAATCCAAATTTTCGTAGCTTAAATATCAGAAAACATAGGGACAAAGTAATCACTTTTAACAATATGTGGAAATAACCACTTTTTCCCGAAACTGAAAACATGTGTAGCATGTAGCGGTTTCTCTCTTCTCTTTAAAATATATATTTTTCTCTTGTTGGAACAAGTATAAACTCTCTATATATATATATATATATATATATATATATATATATATATATATATATATATATATATATATATATATATATCAAACTGTAGGAGAACGAACAGTAGGATTACAGCGTTCAAAACATTAATTTAAAAATAGTGCTCAAAACATGTAATGACGGTGTTACTAAAAAATTTATTCTTAAGTACAGTTATCGCAACAAATATCCTCCAATTCCGTTCTTTGGAGATTTTCATAAAATGTTTTCCAGAATTTACATGCATTAAGTAGTCGTGGGTGGATGAAAAGAAATGGAAATCGAAAAAAGGGAGGGGAAAAGA